AAAAAGTCCTTTGTCAACCCTGCATTTGAGATCATACACCTTACTCTCTCCAAGAGTGTTCTGTTCATACGTTCGGCCACACCATTTTGCTGAGGCGTCATCCTAACAGTGCGATGCCGAACGATTCCTTCATTTTTGCAGAATTCTTCAAAATCACCTTCGTAAAATTCCATGCCATTATCTGTTCGAAGCCGCTTAATCTGTTTACCTGTTTGCTTCTCAATCAAATCCTTCCATTGTTTAAATGTTAGAAAAACATCATTTTTATGCTTCAGAAAATAAACCCAAACTTTCCTGGAATAATCGTCAATGAAAGTCAACATATACCTCGCACCACCTTTAGATTGAACATGAGCTGGACCCCAAAGGTCTGAATGAATATAGTCAAGAGTACCTTTCGTTTTGTGAACTGCCGGAGAAGTGAAGCTGACTCTTTTCTGCTTTCCAAAAATGCAGTGTTCACAAAAAGTCCAGTGGCCTAGTACTCTGTCCGCAAAGTAGACCTCTTTTGCTCAATATGCTCAAACCTTTTTCGCTCATATGACCCAAACGCATATGCCATAATTTGGTGATGTCAGAATCAGACAATGATGATGACGAAACTGCAACCGAACCTGTGACAGTAGTTCCTTGCATAATATACAAGCTACTAGACCTACAAGCTTTCATAACAATAAGAGCACTTCTAGAAACTTTCATAACTCCACCTTCAGCTGTGTATTTACACCCAAGGGCCTCTAGGGTGCCTAAAGAGATGAGATTCTTTTTCAAATCAGGAACATGTCTAACATTAGTGAGCGTCCTCACAATACCATCATGCATTTTAATTCGGATTGTGCCTCTACCAACAACATCACATGCGACATTATTGCCCATCAAAACAATTCCACCATTACAATATTCATATGTGGAAAACAAATCCCTATTGGGACACATGTGATAAGAACAACCTGAATCTAAAATCCATTCATTTTTAGACCTCGTCCTTCATCAATAGCAGAAAAAATATTTCCAACAATCTCATCAGTTGCTACACTAACTTCAGCGGATTCAGTAGTTTTTTCAACAAATTTTTCCTTTTGCTTTAATTTATTTTTCAATTTAAAGCAATCAGATTTAATGTGCCCTATTTTATGACAATATCTGCATTCCAAATTTCTATGTTTGGATTTAGATCTAGATTTAGATCTACTACTGTCAAATTCTCTTTTATCCATTCTCCCCCTAACAACCAGACTCTCAGCCTGATTCTCTCTACTTTCCCCAGTGATATTCTTGTCTATCTGCTCCTTAGATTTCAATGCAGATTTAATTTCTTGATACAAAACTGTTTCTTTTCCATAAATCAAAGTATCACGAAAATGCTTAAAAGATTGGGGAAGAGAACACAAGAGTAACAAAGCCTTATCCTCATCATCAATTTTTGCATCTATATTCTCCAAATCCATAACCAAAGAATCAAACTTATCAAGATGTGAGAGTATAGATGTACCTTCAGTCATCCGAAGCATATATAGACTCTGCTTCAAGTAGAGACGATTCTCCACTGTCCTCTTCATGTACAAGGCTTTAAGCTTGTCCCATATGCTCTTAGCCGTAGTCTCCGTAGCTACCTCCCGTAAAACCTCGTCATAGAGATTTAGAATGATGCTTGATCGGGCCTTCTTATCCATACCCGCAAGCTCTTCTTTTGACATATCATCTGGAATGCTCTCGGCTCCCTGTAGTACCAAATCAACTCCGTCTTGAACCAGAATGGCCTCCATCTTGAGTTGCCACAAGCCGAAGTTGACATTTCTGTCGAATTTCTCGATAACAATCTTTGTTATTGTCATCGTTGCCAAAAGATCCCAGAACCAGGCTTTGATACCAGTTTGTTAGAGCTAACCTCAGGAAATTTACCAAAGGATAATTTTGGTAACACAACAAAGACAATAAAGTGGAAAGAATAAAAGCGACAAGGACACCAGAACACGAGATATACGTGGTTCGGTCAATTGACCTACATCCACAAACGAAAGGAGCAAATTACTACTATAAAAAAGGGACACTTACAAATGCCTTAGGAAGATATTCCTGGGCCATAAAACACCTTCAGCTTACTAAACAAGAAAAAACCCAAACCGTAAGCAGGTTTTCTTGTGGCTTCAAAGCCTAGGCCCTTATTTATAGTTCCAAGACGAGACAACAAGTCTAATTTTCCCGATGTGGGACTATGAGACTTGCCAAACTAATAGTAAGCAATTGGGTCAGCGTCGGGGCAATGCAAAGCCTTCCATTATCCTCGCCACAAGATAATGCCAAGAATTCGATATCATCTAGGCGGGAGAGAACCTCTAGTATTAAAAAACCTCTACAAAGAAAAAGTGGAAGAGAAAAATGAAGGCTCGCCTCTAATGCGTATGTGTATGTACAAAAGTAGTGATGCGACACATATAGTTGGTCACTAGACAGAGTAACTAGTAGTTCGAACTCGACTAAAATATGATAGACCTCCCAAAAGTAATTCAGGTCAAAGGCCAACACAAGTGAGTCGAAGTGGAATGAGTCAGTTGAGGGTGGCAAGACTCTACCGCTCGAGGGGTTCACCTCCGAAGGGGTAGCCTAACACGACCACTTCGACCCCTTTTGAGGAGAAAATTTCATTTGCTAATATCGAGGGTGGTAATAGAATTAGCAACAAGTTTGAGTCCCAAGCCATATAGGGATAAGAATGTGACAACACCTCAATGCCATATGGCTACAACACCTCAATGCCATATGGCTGATGCTTTAGCACCACTTACTTGACCCCTCAATATGAAACCGAATTAGTTGGATATTATTATATCCCATATTCGATGCTATGATCGTAGTTAAGTCTAGGAGAGGTGCGCCATCTTTTACATAACCAACATCGATCGTGGAAGTAATGGTACTACCAACTAGTTATAAAATGGCTCTACATGTATATTATTCAGAACTTATATCGATCTAGACATTGTCAAAAATATCATCGACATATTTTGTATGATTTGACACTAACAAAGTAGAATAAGTTGGTATTGGATGGTGTTAACTTAGGATCAAAATAGAAGTGTAAAAGAAGGACTTCATCGAATTAGTATCTAACACCAAAAAAAAAAAAGGTTGACTTAACAACCATGAAGATTAAGCTATCTCAATCCAGCCTCTCCCGTGGGATTAGGATGAACTTTAACCTTCCTCCTTGGAAGCTGATCTAAAAAGGTGTGAAGAATCGTGGGATCTAGCGAGGTCGAGTGGAGAATGCCTGTCATGGAACAAACGAGATTACTCTCTGGATGCATGCATCTGTCAAGGAAGCAAGAGCAGGTTTAGTGTGTCCTCAAAGGAGCTGCCATGTCTTCTTCTTCTTCTTCTTCTTCCAAAGGAGCTTTATCCAATCAGATTGGCCGAGCATAGCATAGCTGTGCATGTGAAATAAATGACAAGAAGACAAGCAACCTACATTAAATTTCGTAGCTGTATGTCTAGGAAAAATCTCTTATTCTCTCACTCCAAGGAGAATTAGCTTACATTTCGGCCATGGATCAAGCAATCATTTGAGGACCAGGACGACTAGATTATTGTCTAACCCAATGATACATCTCATGATGCGAATTAGGCGAGTGCCGATAACTAAAATTACTGATGGGGACTGCCATCAGCTATAAGCTACATTGTAGACACGTTAACTCTAGAATAAATTAGTGTAAGTTTATGTGAGAACCTGTAATGGTGTCATTCTTCACCTCGGAATGCTGCTATATGAAATGTGAGAAAGCCTAAGACAGAGAGGAAGAGAAGATTCGCAGGGAAGTAAGAGTTTTTAGGGTTCATCTTCGTAAAGGAATCGTGTTCGGAACTCAAACTTGTCGTGGGGGATGGAAATAATGTTATGCCTATTTCGCCTCCAATTCAATGCATCAAACAGCTACGAAGCCATCTAACGTGAGCTCTATCAGATCATAATTCCACCTTCTTTTCTTTCTTTGTGGAGCAGTTGGCTCTTATGTCACATCACTATCAGTTCGACACTTAATTACTTAGTCGATATAATGTGTTCATAACGGATGGTCATAATAGTCGATGTTTTTAGCGACTCCTTCTTGCTCAACGTGTCTCTTGTGATGTCCTAACAATTGCTAGTGGCTCTTGTAATAATGTCATATCACCATCAGTTCAACACCCAAATCGGATGCTTATTCAACATAATATGTTGATAACATTGAATCTAATGGGCTCCTCTACACATCCTACGACCAAAAGCAACGTTTAACACACACCTTTCTACTGTCTTCTCCTGTTGACTCGACTTGTGCCAGCGTTTGCTTGCACATGAACGATGATTCTCTCTCTCTCTCTCTCTCTCTCTCTCTCCAGAGAAAGAGAGCATCTCCAGCGGAAGCCACCCTCGTTCTCTCGATTCACAGATCAAAAACACGTATCCACAACATGGCGGACGAAGGTGAGGGTCGTCGGGCGTGCCCCCACGTCCGACAGCCGTCCGACCGAAGCTTGCAACAGCTGTGACCGAGTCGTCCTCTCTCCACCTAAAAATGCGTCCCAAGCCACCACAGACGTCCCTCGTCTCGCACTCTGCCTTACGACACATGGCGTCTAGCTTGACATGGCTCGGACTCCGCGCTCCCACGCTCTCCAGCTCATGTCATCTCATCGATCGCAGCTCACTGAGAGAGAGAGAGAGAGAGAGAGAGGCTAATATTTTAGTACCGCGTTCTCTTCCCTAGCAAAATTCCTCTAGATCCACGGTTTCTGCTAAAACCTCAATGCCAGCATCCCTCCTCCTTGATTTGTGCCAATCTGTCGGTCCATAGTGGACACAAGGAGCATGAAGCATCTCCTTCTCCATCATTGGCTACTCGCATACTTCGCCACGGGAAACCCTACATTAATGGCACAGCACTGCACTGCGCTACGTTGCCTTCCTTAACTCACTCTATCTCTCTCTACCTCCCCTCGTCTTCTCTCCAACGAAGGTTGGGTGGGTTACAGCTGCATTTGAGCTAATTGATGCAGCTTAAACACCCCTTAGCTGGAACCGGTGCTTCCTATGCAATCCACTCCATTATTTTACCTCCACACTTGCAGTCATCTCTTGGAATCCTACATAATATAATACCGTACTTGTTCATACCAGTAGGTTCTGAATGTTCCATACCTTTTATATAAACCATCGAAAGGAAAATATTTGATTTATGGATGCATGCAAGCATGATCACCGTCGATATAGCTGCTCTGGAAGCCAAGCTCAATGCTTATGCAATGGTAAGAGTGATGGATGCATGGGGAGGTCACATCCCCAACTTCCACCCTGTAAACAAACAGAGAAACGGGAAGCGAGAAGGTCGGTGGAGTTGGGGGACGAGTCTCCATCAAGCTTTACTCGGACCAGTCTTCAAGTTTTAAGTAACCGTTGACTCTCGGTTCATTGCCATTGGTAGATGGGAGGAGAATGCCAAAGTAGGGTGCCATTTTCCCAAATAATCTATTATAAAATTCAAGGCAATAGACACGTTATTTGGTAGATCCGATATTTAACTTAAATCTAACAAAGATTTTTATCCATAGGTGTGAGTCATTGTTGCATTTTGATCGATAATTTCCTCATAGTTGAATAATGATCGATAATTTCATATAATTATGTCATAAATTAATTTATCATTTTGATTCAACGATTACCTCATGTGTATAATTACATCTATCTATAAACACTCTATGTTTTTACTTTTAAATCTTTCAAATTTTTTTTAGCTTAAGTATCAAAACGAATAATCCATATTAAGTATGATTTACCTATAATCCCTCATTTTCCTAATATCGAACTCGCTATAAGCTTAGACATCATATCTAGATTAACTTATCAGAAAATCAAAATCCAAAATAACAAAAAGAAAAGAAGATGAAGCGTTGCTAAAAGTTGCATCTAATATAAATTAAAATATTACCATGTGAGTTCTAACGATGAATAAAGATCCATAAATAGTTTATGCGGATGTCACCACGACTTCAAATTTTGTGATCCATCTTTATATGTCCAATCATATCAATCAATCAATCACTTTCATCGTCGCAACACCAACATTTTCCATCCTTGTAAATGTCAACCAGGTTCTACATTCTCGTTGTTATCATAAACCATGAATAGTCAGTCTACTATATTAATCACTTTCCATTAGCCGACACCAACCAGTCTCCATCCAATGTTCTTAATCCACCAGGCAAGCTCAGTTCTCCATCGTCATTGTTCTTCTGACACCCATACGACTTCAACTGATCATAGCGTCTTGGACTTGAACCTTAATATAGCATTTGACTTCTCAATTCTTTCTTTGTAGTTTGATGCTTACTTTATAGTTTGACCTTTGGGTTTACACAAACCTCAAGGAGAGCTGTGAACTGTCTTCATCTTGCAGAACTTTCAAAACCTCAACTAAAGAACCTTGCATCCTCATAAAGTCAACCATCTTTCCTTTCGTCAACTCCTGCCAACCACAAGGAAGAAAAATGAAAAAAAAAAAAAGTCATATCGACATATGATACATCAGTACTAACAGATATGTGTCGGTTTGATACGATAAATCTTGATTGAAATACACATCAACATTAACTAGCAACTCTAATAAACTCCATGATCAATAATTGTGACGTTAAAAATAATAATGAAGTCTTACATAGTTTATACATGTATTTTTTAATTTCAAACCATCAGAAATCATCACTAGTAATGGTTAATCTGAATTAAGATGGACAAAAGGATATACGTAGAGAATCTTAAAATCATATGTTATACTAAAACAAACTATTCCGAGTGCAGATGTCCAGAACACCCCCTTCGGTCGAGCCACGGCTGTCATCTACTTCACAACGTTATTTGCGATTACATAATAATGGCAACCGTACTCAGTCCTCCCTGCCTCAAAAAAAAACAATGTTGCCAAGTATAAACAACTTAATATGGGAGTCAACTTTTAGGCTCTCCTCCGAAACCAACATAAAGAGACAACCCAACATATGCATACAGAGATATCAAAGTCACAAGCACTGCAATTGTCGGGTATTCGGAGCATAATCGAGTATATAAAACGATGGGGACTTACCGGCTCGAAGCAGCTGCGGACATATCACCGAGGACGGCAGTCTCTGTGTACCCATGTATCCACCAACCACATGCCCCTCACACGACTATGCTCCGCCCGTCACATGCGCCATATCCCACCCAGCAAAGCGACGACGCAGCAGATTCGGAGGGCCTCGTCACCTGCACAGCCGAAGGGAGGTACAGCTCAGCCCCTTCTTTTATCCAACCATGAACAGTGTTGCATGTCTTACCTTGGAATATTGATGCAAATGCTGTTGGTAGCTTTCAGTGACTAGAGATGCCTTTGCCTTTTTCTCTGACAGGAGAGTGATAATAAATGACCCACACAGTTGAGGTCGATCTGCATGGAATAAATGAACACAGGACTCATGTGAGGCCCCCTTTACGACCAACACCGCCTGCAACAATAACTTCGGGCCGGCCAACAGCAGGGCACAGCAACAGGCCACAGTGAGATGAAGAGATGGCACTTGGAACCCACGTTTGGGTCCACCATTATAGGCAACATAATAGCTCTCAATTGAAGAACTGGTGGTAGTCCAAATCATCGTAGGGTTATTACCTGTCGCAGTACTAGCGTTGAACCACAATGAAGCCAATCTCCAACGATAATATCATCGCCATCGATCAGCATCCAAACACTAAAAGCTGCCTTCGGTAACCTGGAAATAATACAAAAAATTAACACCACATAGATTTTGACTTAAACCTCAACGTGGAAGCATAGAACACCAACTGATTCAAGCCAACCACAAGCTTCAAGTCGGCCTGAAAGAGAGAACACTGTACACATTTCCCTGGGATACATGTACCTCTCGACAGGTCATCAGTAATATCTTTTTCTCACTTGGATGCTCGACAACCAGATCGACTCAACTTAATCGAAAACTCCATAATTTAACATTATCAAGCAGAAGAGGGCATCAACTGCTACTAGCTCAAGCCAACTTACTCAAGCAATCAGCATATCCAAAATATTCTCGATCTCCATATCACAACTTTCCCAATGATCTGCAACAGCAACCAATCAAATCCAAGGTCAGTGCAACTTGCTAACAGCAATGATTTTATGGTCATGCAAAATGTCAACCCAAAAAGAAAAATAAAGGAAAAGATAAATTCACCTTCAGATAACATGCCAAAAACTGAATCAGATCCCTACAAGATTCACTCATTAGAAAACAGGTGTTCCAGGTTCTTACATGTTATTATATGTTAACAGGAAAACCATGTCCACATGATTTGTACCATGTTCTGAAACAATGGAAATGGCTATACCAGCATTCCGCAAGAACCTGCAGTTGATCTTAACTCTTTAAAGCTTAGTAAAGGTTACAGGACAACATATCTAGTTCCCAATCAAAACAACAGAAGTAAGCATGGGAAACGTTTATATCAGGATCTGATACATTAGAACCAATTACACCACTCAAGTGTCTATAGCAAAACATCTTCTCGGATACAGATCAGACACCCGCATCTTGGTATACATCCTATGATATACATGACATTTTTAAAAACTAATTTCTAATCTACATGTTTACAGCTCATATTTCCCATAATTGATCAACCCAGCAGCAAATGTACAATTGATGAAGTTGGTCCTGCATGTCCTGCACAATTGCTGGCCATTTGCATATGCATTGGAATGTCATGACTCCAACAGTAACATCACGCAGCTTCGTGGCTAACCTGTGTTATGGCACTTTGCCTAACTGAAGCAACAACGCTTGTGGTACCTAGTCAACAAAGAGACCTTAAAGAAAAGCATTCATAGAAATATGCAAGCAATTTTTCCTAGAATTAACCAATCAATAGAGTGTTTTTAGGCAAACTGACTGCTGAAAACAATACCTGTTGAATTTCCCTATATGTTAACTAATGCAAGAATGCAGAGGTGGTAGGACTTGAGTTTAGTTTAGAAAAATGATCATTTCTAAGAGTACATCCATTGCAATATCATGCCTGCATCCTCAGCAGCATACTTGCACCACCTATCCATTCATGGTATTCTTCAACCATACAAAAGCAATTGCCTATCAAGTTAAGAAATGGATAATATTCACATGAGAAATACAACAAGGTTCACTCATTTTGTCTCGTCAAGATAAAGCAGATGCATACATGATTAAATGACTGACTTGATAATGAGTTTTGATGATTGCCATGGTAGTTAACACTATGACCCATTTATTTCTGCATATCGTACATATTTATTATATACAAAATCCAATTTGTCCAATCACACATTAGATAACCAATCACCAAAAATATTTTGAATTTGAAATCTCATGCTATATATCACCCAATCGAAGGAGTTCCCTGAAAATGTCATCTGCAAAATGCCACCCAAATTGCATAGCATCAAACTAAGTCAAATTATATAGAGCGGTCCCCAAATATGCAGATGAATACCAGCAAACCTTCAATATATTGTAATTAAGAAGAATGCCTATTTATCTGTCTCCAATTATAGCAATAGACATGATCACCAAAGACAACAACACATGCAGTTCAAGCAGAAACTGGAAAAGCTCGTGCATTTCCAATATAGAGTTCAACTACGAAACTACCTAAAGAGGAGTTGGTAAAAAGAACTAACCAAATAATCAGAGGAAATGGCACATCCTCCTCCATTTTGTGTAGGCATCCTCCAATTCCCATCTTTTGGAGTGAACAATGCTGAAACGGCACATGAGCTCATCTACTTGCCTCCTTTACTTCAGGTACTCATCGGGATTCATCCGATAGTATGGCAAAATTAGTAATGGAACGAGTTGAGATACATGTCATTCATAAGTGGAAGATCATCAAATAACTTTATAGATATAAGATCCTGAACTTAGTATGAACCTAACTTTAAAAGAGAATTTAGGTTCTACAGTGGGTTGGCTTTTGACTTGGTTGCTAAGGCATAAACAAGAGTGTGTTCCATATTTCCTTATTCATACTGCTTCAAAATGAGGACACATAAAGGATGCATGGTTTCAACCAGGTGCATAGAATTCATTGGATGCCTTCACTCTAGGCTTACTAGGATTATACACCATTTTCTTTCCATCATGTTTGAAAACATAGGTGGTATGCCTACCACTGTGAGTCACAGAGATCTTTAGTCATGGCCTCCCAAGTAAGATCTGCCCTGCTTCTGCAGGAGTATATTTCATAAACATTGGCAAACTAAATTTGGAGCAAGCGATGTATTGGCTAACAAACATAGTGGAGTCCACCTAAACAACCTTACATGAATAAAATCTAGGAAACTAAGACTTCAATTTTTATCCTCTAAAAAGCACTTTTAAACACCACATCAGGCATTACCTCCATTAGTGATAACTAATAAAATTGCAGCTTCTATCATCACCTCTGCTGCAGGTATGCAAAACGAAGATTCATTTAAATTATCCTCTTTTAGTGTGGTAAAGCAAACGCACCTCATGATCTAAACGGGTTTCATCCTCAAACTCATGTAGGTCCTCATTGTTGTCCAATTCATCATAGATGTGGGACACTCTCTCTATAGTTCCATCTTCATAATTTCTTCAGGATGAATAGCCAAGTTATTCTTAGGGCATTCATAGGCATAGTAGCTTTAGCTTATAGTAGTGGTAGTCAATGAACCATATTTGTCCCTTGCTTGGAGGACTGACTGAGTGTAAACAGACATCCTTTCAAGTTCAAAGATTGACGTACTGAGGCGGTCTCCTAATCTAGGGTGACCTGAGATAGCTGTTATCTTCTAAGGCTAACTAAAGCTCCAAGGAATCAGTAACATGTGACAGCATTCCATTGGATTTCAGCCCCAAGCCCAGTGTCACGATATCTAGATTTCACCGGTAGTCTGATCTGATACCATAGTGGAAGATATTTCTCTTTCGACTTCTCTTTCATCGTATCAGAGTCCTCAGTAAATGTATGACCTGACCTCTAGATTTGTCTTTTAGCACTATTTTGTGGCTTGCCCCATCAATATTATCTTAGCACCTGAAGACTACTATAAAATAATGAATCTCCTTAAAATCTTTAATGATTGTGTCCTTGTATATACAACTTTTCAATTGAAATTATCCCACTTTGAGACATATTTTAGAGCTTCGAAAATGACAACAGAAATGGACCATCTTTAGATTTCTGGGATGCCCCATTACTAAATACGAATAACTCTCCAAAAAATAAGTTTCCCATATGTTATTCCTTCAATATGATTCCTTTTACACGGTGACAACAGAAGCACATATCTCGAAAGCTTAGCTACTTACATTAGCCAATATTTTTGCAGCTTACTTTCCTGAAGAAGTCTTACTGTGTCCCACCCAATTATGGCTATAAAGCACTTAAAATTAAGGTTTTCACTTGAGATTATGCTTTTAGCTAAATTAAGGAATAATGAAAGCTTTTATCTCACTTGGGACTATCCAGCATGATTTTTCATGACTCACAGACATGCTCAGGAGTTGTACCTGTGCTGCAAGCCAGTCTGACATCCAACACCACTGGGCCAGTACTTCTTCTCCTTCCCCTCCTCCTCTTTTCTTCCTCCTTCCATCATTCTTCTTCTCCTTTATTCCTTCTGGCTTCTTCTTTTTCCTTCTGACATACCATATTTTGATAAGCTTGACATGGACCTGACCTGTATCGGTCATATACCAATACGGGTCTGTTACCTGAAATTACATTTCTTGGTATGGAAGACCCTTATATTTGAGTATGCAACACATGCAGATCTTGTAGTTTTGAAACTAAAATAAAATAACTAAAATAAAACCAAGCTTCATTCAGATATACTATAAAACGCAACTAAAATGATTCATTAACATTGTACCAAGATAACTATTATGTCATTCCCAATTTTATAGTTCTAAAATTTCCATGTATATTACGTTCAGCATGAAGTGCCATGTGTTAATGTTCATAGCTTAATACATCCAGCATGTCGCCAGCAGCAAGAGATATTTCCAACAAGCTAAAATTGCTTGTAAAGCAGATTAAATATCTCTTGTTGCAAGCAGCAAGAGATATTTCAAGTAGCCTACAGTTATAAGCACATGTTATGGTGCATAACTATGCATCCTAATAACAAGCGTTCTGCATCCACCTCAGAGATCAAATATTAAATATATATAAAAAAAAGAGTTTCAACTAAACGCTGAAAACTTAGTTAAAATATTTTTCATAAACTTCCTTCTATCATGCATGTATTACAGGCAGAAAAAAAGTAAGCCTGAAATAGAAGGAGTTAACAGAATTAGAAGTATCAAATAATCAGATATACTGACATAAGAATAAGATGGAAGTGTTGCCACACTGATCGCAGTGTAAAAGACATGACAACTCCACCATCATCACAGACCTATGGAATCAAAGTTTGGGAGCCTCCAATTTTGGCCCTGGAAGAGGCATAATAAGTGTCAATTATATCCACAATATGGAACACTTAATTGGAGTTAAACAAGTGGATCTGCAGCATAAAGATGGATAAACCTCATGACAGTAAATTCACATCTGTGGTGCAAAACAGATTTCTACTAGGACATAGATTCAAATTAACAATGAAATCTCATGATCAGATCATGTTGATATATATATTCCAACATGCATACACAGAGAACTATGGTTTAATAAAGTTGCTACAAAATGAGATCACAAGAAATTTGAAAAAGTAATAACCAAGTTCAGAGTAAAAAGGAGCTTCATTAAGAAGATGCTTCATAGTTCATAGACATAAATGTTTGTAATACAAAAAGATGCCACAGAAAGTGACTTTAGGAAATCAATATGAATATTTAATATGCAGCTACATTTCTGATTCCTCCATCTTACAAATTGAACAAAATATTGAAACAATCCTCGGGTTAATTGGTAACTTCGCAGATACTAAGCATTTCTTCTAGTCAACTATGAGTTTCTGGTGGCCATTTCAAAATGTATCAAGTTCCTTAGCTCCACTAAGTGTTCATCATTTGATATATTTAACATTAGACGTAGGTTTGTCATCAATGCTTCCTGTTCCCAACTTATAGGGCCAGAAGCATATAAAGCTATCAAGGTGGACCGGTATGCATTCAACTCTAGTTCATGAATTTCTGCTTGCAACTCATCCTTCCAAGAAATAGATGGTTCTCTATCCAAATCACAAGAAGTTTCAGCATGATCATATTGGCTATACAATTCTTGGGAAGGATAGGTTATATGATGCTGCAGTGACCTACATGGACTGCTGCTTGGACTACAACTACCAACAGAGGATGAAGTGCTTTCAGCATCACTAGGTTCACAATTATGTTTATCTGAACTTGGTAGTCCGCTTCCTCTATAGGAACCAATTGTTCTGTTGTTTGAGTAAGAATGAATGTATTTTTCACCCAGCAGTCTTCCTGTGGAAGCAACAGCATCTACCTTTTCGAAACACTGTATTGGACGCTTGGTAATCATTCTGTGACACTTCCCATCTTTCTCGACTGCCCTTGTCTTTCTTCTACCATCATTGCACATCTCTGAAGGAATAGATAAATCCAATGGCCTTTTCTTCATGCCTCTTGGGAGAACCCATCTTGTATTCTCAGGAAAATCATGACTTCCAATAGGAAAACGGCTCTTTCCAGAAGAATTAACCATCTCTACACATGACTGAGGCTTACGGTAACCAAACTTCTCTCCTCTTGATGAACTGTTTAGAATTCCACCATGTTGTTTTCCAGAATCCTAATAGCAACAAAAGGAAACTTCAAGTATCATCAACATGAAAAACAAGCAAATATAAATACACAAAAAACATTGGGTATCGAAAATCACAAAATAAGATTGGTAAAATATTAAAGTGACTAAAGATGGATCACATAAATGCTCAACTACACCGGACGTTAAAGTAAACTACATAAATGGATACTAAGAATACAATCACCATGGTAATGGAGCCAGAACAACTTAATTTGGAAAAGAATTGCATAATGTTACCTTATGAATCGCCACCCACTGCTCGTCCTGCCAAGAAAGATGTCTCCTTATGTGAGAATTATGGGTTCTGAACTCCCTAGAGGATCCAATGAGCCTCACAGAACAGTATTTCTTATCGACAACCATCAAAACTTCACCAAGCTTCCATGAATTATTGTCAAAAACCTCGACAACATCTCCAGACTTCACATCCTTCAGGCCTTCCACAGGTGGAGGGCAGGGTCTGATGGCCTTTCTTGGCACTCTATCCACTGCCACACTGCTGTCTGTTGGATACCCATCATATCTCACAGAATAGTTATGCCCATTACCCGAGATGATCTCGGCACTCCACCATGAGCCTGATGCAAACTCCCTCCTGCTCCAAACCTCCACCTTATTCCCCTTCTTGAATCTCATGGCAATCCTTCTTTCAAGCCCTAACAAAGAAGAGATGAAAAAATAAGAAGAATATTCATCAGTACGAAGAAAAAAAGAAACCAGATGGCTACTAAAAAGAAGAAATTTTTTTTTTTCTTCTTAACGATCAAAGCATCAAAAATATCGGCCATGCGAAACCCGAAGAACCGAACATATTCCAACATAAAATATTCCAAATAAAACAGGAAAAAAAACCTAACAGTAACCATTGATCTTCTGATAAAATGCTTAAAATCCACGAAATGGGCTAAAATCCTAACAAGAACAAAAAGAAAAAAACGTGGGCATCAGTTTTCAATGATGTAAAGTTTGGCTCTTCTACAAGTTAAGCATCATGAAAAAGATCATCCGCTTCCACAAATATTTACCTCAACTTCCTGTTACACTAAAAAGCTATGACGAACTCGAGCCACATCGACGAGTTCCGGGCAGAACATTTCTTGGAATGATGACCGAAACCTCGATCAAGTCCAAGCTTCCAAGAAATCACTCGATAGAAAAATAAGAACAAAAAACAAAATTCCAAACTACGCGAATAAACCGATGATCAAGGAAAACGATCAGGGTCCGAGATCCCCCAACGCTTGCAAAAAGAGATAACGAGAACGCGAATCGACGAATCGTAGATGATCACAAGGAAACCATCAATCTAGCTATCAATGAAAGACCAACAACCTTATGATAGAAACAACGAGGGCGATCGATTAATCGAAACCGATTGCTCTTGGAATTCCTTTCTTGTTTCTTTCGGTCTCCTCCCCCCTCCTCTTCTTCGCTGGCTTCTCCGTCTTCCACAAAACGAAGTAGAAAACACATGGAATTTGTGCGGGGAAATATAAAATGGAACCGAGGGGTCTCTCAAATCGGGTTTATTGCGTGGCTCTGAAGTCCGGCCGTTGCGAATAGGTATCCGCAAATCACAGCCGTTCAGATTGGAGAAGTATTCGCCGATCTGCGACTCCGATCAGGAGAAGGAAAGATGCGATGGACGGCGTGTGATGGCTCCAATCGCGAATATTAAAGGAGGGTTTCGTTCCTTCGATTAGCTTTGGGAGCACGTTTGGTTCATCCTGGAACGAACGAAGGTCAAGGAATGTTGGCTTGTGTGAGAAGCTCGCACAGACTTGCGAGGCAAGGAAGGTGATCGAATTGCCAATGGAGTGTGCGTTTAGCCATCAAGTCTCACCTAACCAGGACATAATTTAGGGCTTGTGAATTGTCGTCTCATTTAGGATCAAGAAAGAACAAAGAATATTAACAGAAATCAAGCAGATATTGTCGTTTAACATTACAGGGTCTTTTTTTCGTTGAAGAGTTGTCATAGGACGAAAAGGACAACAAAGAACTTAATCCTCAGAAGAATGAACGGATGCAATGGACCAATCAAATTTTGGAGAAAGAGCATTCAGATAGGCAACAAAATCTGCATTTGAATCACTACCACCCATGCTGCACATGACGACGAGAACTTTGTGATGCTGCTCGAGCTTGAAGAAGAGGAACAAGAGATGGAATTGTAGCACAAACAAATAAGACAGCATGCCAAAGCATACACAAGAAAAGAGTACCACCTGATTGACTACCATCATTTTACTGAGAATTTATCATGTAGAATGTTCGAAGAGAATAATATGTTGCCCGAACAGCTCTGAGCCAGATGTAACATCAAATAAGATCCACTCGTTAGAAAAAAAAACCAATATGTAGGGAAGCCAAAAAACTAGGAAGTTTTCAGACATTTCTCTCGACTGCAAATAGTGGACTTGAATGGACGATGTCACTCCCTGCCTTGGCGGCCATCACCGGTGATGTCTGCCAGCAAATATCATGTAGAAAGTTAGGAGAGAATAATATGTTGCCCGAACAGCTCTGAGCCATATGTAACATCAAATAAGATCCACTAGTTCGAAAAAAAACACCAATATGTAGGGATGCCAAAAAACTAAGAAGTTTTCAGACATTTCTCTCAACTGCAAATAGTGGACTTGAATGGACGATGTCACTCCCTGCCTTGGCGATCATCACCAGTGATGTCTGCCAGCAAATCCTTGAGTTCACCCTTCTGAGGACAATAGAGCCAGAATGTAACAACAGACAAGCAATCACAAGCAGCTTGGGGTTAGTCTGAGTAGAACATAACTATTCACCTGATGCATGCTAAGGATTATGTCAGATCCTCCTAGGAATTCTCCTTTGATAAATATTTGGGGATTTGTTGGCCAATCGCTGCAACCAATCAGACCAAAGTAATTACATATCTCTAATTTTTCTATGGAAAATAGAATATCAAACTAGTTATCATGGACCACTATCAAGTTATAATATACAAAACAATAATGCAAACAAACCAGGATGAGGAATTTCCATTAACAGGGACAAGAAAGAAAGTAGTAGCACTGTATGGAATTATGTCATGCAAGTCATAATGGCATCACAAGAGGAGGTTGCACCAGTATGCAGAACATCTTTTTAGTTGCTGAAAGATACATATATCTTCTTAGATGCTCTAAGATAAATATATATATTATTGAAGCTTTTTAATGTAGAGAGTGCCACTAGATAAGTTTTACATGCTGACTGGGTATTTGTGCCAACATTTTTCTTCTCATGATATGCCCAAAACAATCAGATAGTCCAAAAGATATGGATGCCTAACTTGATCCATGGTTATTCTTCTATTTAACTGTTAGATATAGTGGTTCTAGCTTATGCCAATATGAGTTTTGTAAAAGTTACTGGTGTTCCATTTGATTTACATTTGTTAGGTATGGCAGCCAGACAGACCATTCTAAATTTCTTGAAGGATTATATGGTTAAAAGACAGAAGAAAGCACTTTAAAGACCTTTTATGAAGCTGTCCTTTTTCAGAAAGTACATTTCACATAGATCTCATATGAACGTTTAGTGTTGGAGCAGAACAATTTCGTGATAAAAGGAACATTGGAGAAATGTTTACAACTTTGCTATCCAAAAAACACCTTAGTTGCAGAGACAACTTCTAAAACTAAAAACTGTCCACTGAAGAGAATAAATATCTGATTTCCGATTTTGCAAGTGGCTTAACATGTTCTATGATATTCTGCAGAAATGGTTGCAATGATTCCTTATTCTAAATTTTTTAACACTAGCATTAGTTCCAACATCATCCTTATGATCTTGTGCAAAATTTCACATTGTCAAGTTCACCTTTGCCAAGATTTAGAATAAGAATTTGGAACTATATATGAAAAAAACTATATTTCATCAAACAAATTCTACATTTTTGTTTATGCCACTAGAAGAACAACTCAGATTCACCAAAAACCATGAAAAGCACCTCAGGAAAGAATGCTTTATACCATATAATTGGAAATCATGGGAAGAAATGAAATGCATAACATAAAAAATCATCATGCATCTATCATCTAGTAACAAAACATAGGGTGACAACTTACGTATGAGCTTTTACATTTTCTTTAAGCTTCAGATCTCCCAAAATATCTCTTGCCCTGATAGGAACACCTGCAATATGCATTTAAAAGATACAAAACACAACCCTAAAAGAGTTAGAAAACTAAATGACTGTTATAAATCTGTGCTCAATTGCATTAAAAAATCATTTGACTCTCTCTGTGTCTAATAAATCAAGATAAGTACGTTACCATATTGCCGTAGGACCTTGACAGCTAATGCACTGAATCCACATCGAGGAGCATCTGTCAGACCCGTCATATAAATCATGACTGGATTGTTCTGCACATCCTGCAATATAATATTTGACCAAGAAATCAATGAGGAAAAATCTAACACTTGGAAAAAAATATATTAGTACATGAAGAATCAAACTAAAGTCGATATTAACAGAGACCATACATTGAACTACAAGTAAAACGTACCTGCTGCAAGCAAGTACTTGCTGCACAATATCCAGTACAGAGATGCCAGTACTTTTGTTTGTCGACTGAAAGTCTTTATGTGTAACAGGATCACTGGTTATCTTTGTCGGGTGTGTGTCAGAAGAAGCAAAACCATTCGTGGGAAGGTCTTCATTTACAACAGAATCATCAGTTCCCTTGGTTAAGAACTTCATCCGTTTCAGAAAAGATGGACCAAATGCAACCTGCTCTAGCATATTATAAAACTGCAAATCAGATGTCTTGCATAGCATAAAACATTGTGATTAAGAACTGCATAACTGAACTAGCTCAAACATTAAAAGTTAAATTTAAAGAAAAACATACATTTATAATTAAATTTCAACAAATTGATTATGGAATTTCTCGCCGTTGACTGCCATAGCTAGATGGTCACTTCTCCAAGAGTGTCGCAAACAAAAAATATAGAAGATTCAAAAACAATTAATTGTGAGAAGATAACTATAAGCTTTCCTGAAGTATATTAATTATTAACCCTTTCCCACAACATGAAGAACTAAAGTTCTTGAATTCTGGTGATATTACTGCAGTCGACACAGGTGATGGATGAGCAGAAAGAGACATAAGAATTAACAAACAAGATCACATGTGACTCTTCAAGATCAAATAAAAATCCAAGAATGTCAGGAAACATAAGTACACCAAAGTTCAAAATGATCAGCAATGTGTATATATACACAACATATGAAGTGGCATCTCACTATCCACTAGTTGCAAATGGGTTAAGCTATTCGGAAGCAACTCGGTGTTCAGCTCGTTAAAAGCTCGCTCAATTCATTAGCCTAAGTTAATGAACCAAGCTTGACACTAATTTTAAAGCTGGGTTGTCGAATAGGCCAAGCTTGAACATGACAAATTTGGCTTGTTTACACTCACCACCTTACTAATTGATAAGCTCATGGACAAGCTTGTTTCTAGATTCTTGAAGAAACTCATTTATGCACTAGAACTTTTTAGGATCATTCAGCATCTTAATTCCAATCACTGTGAATGAGCTGTAAGAATTGTTCGTTTTGGGTGACAAGGATTGCTCTTTCAAAAATAAGACCCAAAAATGTTCCCCATTATGTTCTGAATCCAAACCCTAAGCCAATGCCTTATCCATTGGGCCATGGAATTCTTGTTAAAATAATTTGTGGAGCCAATCAAAGGTAATATTGGGTCCACGTCACACTTTGCAAAAAAGGTAATATTTTGGAAGAATAGTTTTAAGCGCCGAAGAAAGGAAGAAAACTGAGAACAAACTTAACAGTAGTTAGTAGAAAGGGGATTCCGGTACTGTTCAATATTTTTTTATCATTATCTTGGAGGTCACATTTTAAGAACAAAATACAGCTTTCTTTGATATGCATTCTAACAATGTAATTAGAAAATATAACACTAGAAAAATTTGCTATGCTATTGCAATAACAAAATGGTCATGACATTCTTTGAATTTTACACCCTACCAGAGGACCAGTAAGCTTTCCACTTTCATGAACACAAAACAACATACTGATAAACATTTAACAATGCCAACTTGAGATTTGCAGACTGAGTCAATAAGCGTCTTTAACTCATTTGATAGTAAGCAAATTCGGGAAATGGTCTCCTTCAGAAGTGGAGAAGCAATTGGACTTACCCTTGTGTTGTTAGAGGAACTGGCGATGCCTCTTAGTACCATGTTTGACAGTAACCTTGCCATTTGCCTTAAGAAAGATTATCCACAACCCTCACAACAACAGTGCTGACAATCCAGACAGCCTGAGCTGCAAAACAACGATCAGTGGGGTACCAATATATAGAGCAGATATTGTTAGATACTGTATATTTGCTATCAAATATCCTTACAGCTAAGGTTATCGTAGATAGTCTCTTAAGCTGATCGAATGGGCGATATAGAAGCCACAACCCGATCAAGATATAATAAACAAAAGTGCCATCCCAACATCAATAGCGAGATCGAAGAAGAGGAGGAGGAAGAAGTACTTTGCCCTTGCCCATTAACACAAGCGACTGAAACCTAATTCCCTCCCGGATCCCAACAACGAGAAGACTAAACATGAACAGAAGACAGAATCCTATAGAATCAAAGAGGGAACAAAAGGGAAGAACAAGATTCCTTACCTGCTGCTGAAGATTTCTCCTTACACCCCGCGCTCGTCTTCTCTCTGGCGATCGCGGGCGCCGAGAAGGGTAGCCGCCGGACTTAGTTTCGCCCGGCAGGCCACACGCAGACGACCCACATGACCCAAACACAAAAGGCTCCCTTCTTCTCCAGCCCGTGAGCCCATCTAATTAATACATCGAAGCCCATTTAGAGACTAATTACACATTACCCTTTTAATTAATTACATTAGGATCTTTATACTTAAAGTAAAATATTAAATTCTCTATATAGAATTAAAAATATAATTTTATATGATTAAAATATATATATATATATAAGGATTTCAATGTAACTTTTGAAAGTATAAGGATCGTACTTTTATGGGATCTGAGATAAGTCAAATCTAAATATTCGGATAGTAAATCGATTCAAACTAAATAGATCATAGTCGATCGCAAGTACATTGATCAACTTTACTAAGTTGTAATATCCTAAAGTATGAGAAAGATCTAAAGTTTGCCATGTATTTTCTAGAGAAAAATGGATTAGATAACATTATGCCTTCATTGATCAGTATTGGTTGGATGCAATTTGCCATGTAAGTTTGGGTTCAGCAGAATAAAACCTAGATTCTGCATGCTCGGATATGTTGGCCCTCTTGTTCTCTTAGTGATGTTATGTTATCTTTGGATACATATATTATAAGCCAAGTATGAAGGTCAAAAGATAGACAGCTACAGCTTGTTGTTGAGACATTCCTAGTCATCTGTGGTACTACCACTTGGATTACATGGTTGATCGGGGGGAGGTGAAGGGTGAAAAGAGTGGAGAATGTACACTGTTCTTATTGTGTTCATGTTTGAGCATTTCTCTGGGAGAATCTACTGCTCTGCAACCTCAGCTTAATTTGCATGGCTCTTCTGTTTAGTGTGACTTCAAAGCTAAACCCCCTTGGAATGTCCATACAAGAGGGTCTATACTTTGCCCTTCTTCAGGGATTCCTACTTTTTGATGGAGCCAATGGTTGAGCTGCATCCACTTCTGTACGAAAACCTGGATCGATGATTACGTGATCGATAAAAGCTCAAATGGTGACCCCTCCAATTGATGGATACACCAAGTGTACATCATCAGGAAGAAAAGAACTGACTGATACGGAAGAACTCCTACCAAATCATTTCAAACAGTACTGAGGCTTGAGAATATTCATCAGAGAGAAGAAATAATGAGAAAGCAAAGGCCAGTATTTTTCCACAGCTACTTGGAAAGAGAGGCGACTCCTGTGCATGATGGGGGGGAATAAGAGGCGTGTCGTTCCTTGCACAGTACAGTTCTCATCAGTGAGCGGAATATTCACGCTGTCTACTGATTTCATGCATGCGTGCGTTCCTTCTTATCCTCTCCAAGGTCAACATGGAGGAGGCACCAAGTTCATGTCCACTAAACGTGACCTGGAGCTGGTGAATCCATGTTCTACTGTTCCATCTTTTTATCGGATCAAGATGGAGCCATGAGCATGTTCTTCTACCTCAGCATTTTCTTCTAGGGTTACTGACCGAGTGCTGCAGTAGAAGAGATGAGAAGGCATAAAACGTAGAATCCATTCATCGCATGATCTTCTAGCCAGGCGGCGAACCTACGCAGACAAGGTTAGTGAAGCAAAGCTTGAATTATTGTTATAGGGGGTAGGAATAAGAGATTGGAGATGGAGTGAGTGGGTGTTCCCCATATGGGAATCGATTCTTGGGGAGGAGTGGAGGCTGATATATATGCACCATAAAGCTAAGTCATACTGTAATGACTGCAGTGCACATTCACCTGTTTAGATTGCAAAATAGGCTGACTGGAATCCCAAGTTCTCCAAATAAAGCATCCGCTTTTGGTGTTCAGGAGATGTTCATGTTTCCAGAACGAACTGTATGTGTAGTTAGGCCGGGAATAATCTTTGCGTTATCTCTTGTTCTCTACTCGACAACACTTGCTTGGATGATTTGACTAACGTTTCATGTTGTCATCACACTAGCAAATGAGGAAGGGCCACAAGGTATATCAATCACCTCTTAAAGTATAAAGAAAGCATTATTTATGGTTCATAATTGAGATTTCAGGTCCTTTTACAAAGATTTGCAGGGTGAGAATCATGTAAAGTTGAGAGAGAGTCTCAGATGTCCCTCCCTCCAATCATATTATACCTTCACAGTCTCTCTCTCTCTCTCTCTCTCTCTCTCTCTCTCTGTGTGTGTTTGTTTATGTGAGTGTAGAAGTTGTCACAGGGACCTATGTCTTCTTCTTCCTTCTGTACACCGAGTACATGAAGCAAAAGGAACTGGATACCCAACCTCGATCCTCAATTATTGAGGCCCATGCAAGTATAAAAGCCACCCCTACCCACGCAACCAACAACACAGCCTCCCATCAACTCATTCTCTTCATCAGTCTCAACTCATCAGGTAACCATAGCCGGCACCACACTCTCCATCCTCCTCTGTTCCCTGCTTTAGCCTACACACTCAGTTGCTGCTACGTACAAAGAGCTCATTGTCTGATATAGTTCATTGGCATCATTCAGATATTGTTTGCTCGGATCTTTTAGCTCGTAATGTGCGTTCCTTCATGCACAAATCATAAGTAACTCATTCAATGCTATAGGACTTGAGAAGATGAGCAGGTGGCCGGGAGACTGGAACTGCAGGTCATGCCAACACTTCAATTTCAGCCGGCGCAGCTCGTGCCAGAATTGCGGTGAGTTGAGGTCGAGCAGTGACTTCCCTGACCATGGCTGCTTCGGCGGTGGCCGTGGGGAGTCCCTTAATGGCCTCGGTGGCTCGAACATCCGACCTGGGGACTGGCGCTGCGCCTGCGGCGGCCACAACTTCGCCAGCCGCTCCATTTGCCACTCGTGCGGCGCCTTCAAGGAGGACTCCGCCGTCGGCTGCTTCGACGGCGACGACGTGTCCAACTCCAATGGCGGGCGTGCCGAGTGGAAGTCCGGGGATTGGCTGTGCACCAGGTGATCACCTGCACGTCCCTTCTGCACTGGTGGTGGTGATACAGACTAAGAAGAGACAAAGCTTTCTGCTTTAGTTTGTAGTTGTTTGTCATTCAGATGCATTACATATACAAGTTCTGCATCAAGACGAACTATCCAAAGCATTACTCTCCATTAATTCTGCGTCAATGTCTCGGCAGGTCGGGATGCAATCAGCACAACTTCGCAAGCAGGAGGGAATGTTTCCGGTGCAAGGCACACAGGGGATGCGGTAAACGACACTTCGATCAACCAACATTGATCTGATATTATCGACTGGTGAACAGGGACTTATGTGTTACAACAATCTGTGACTAGGTTCGTAGGATAAAGAAGAAGAACAGAGGAGGCAGAGGAGATGGCCGAATGAGAAGGATGCAGCGGTCATCTCAAGTTTACTACCAGTTCTACTTTCAACCCAGCCAACTGGTTGATGCCAAGTCATGGCTGAATAAAAGCTTTTGTTTTCTTTTGGTGTCCTCCACCCTTCTCCTGCTTTTAGCAGCTTAACCATGTCAGAGTTGTCTTGCTTCACCTCTGGATGGATACATATATAGTCTCCAAGCACGCCTTGAAAAGGTGATGGATGGAAGATAAACTATGTTCTGGCAAATCTCCTGATGGAGATTATTCTCAAAGATAGTATGGTTATGTGTATCGATGACAGGAAATTGGTGCATTGGGCTGCACATCAACATCTGATCACAAAATATGATCTTTGGCTATGCCTGTACTTGAAACTTCACGTCCTTCATCCTCCTTATAAGCATCGTATCTCAATCTACCGAATGCAGTTTGCTAAGCAACACAACATCAAATGTAGCTCGTTTGAAAGCTTGCACAGCTCAAATAAATGCACTTTGGAGATACGGGAGCCAACCCACATGCACCTTTTAATCCCTGTTACTGATGATTCCTTAGCCTTCCGGGCCCGCTCATAGATTCTTAATGAGCGCAGTTCCATTCGATTCAATCTTTTATATCAAGAAGGTAATCTTCTACCTCGTTGGCTAGATTTTGTGGTCTGTATCCACCGCAGAGTCCACAATCAAAGAACACCCTTTTATCAGTTCTCTATTAAGAAGAAGATGAAGAAGAAGAAGAAGAAGGCCACGAATGGGGGGTAAGGCCGGGCTGCTTGGCCCAACTATTCTATCGTGATAAGCATGAAGAGGCATTTAGTTCGCCTTTGGAATCGGATGGGTTGCTGATGGAAGTTGAAATTGACAGCCACATTCTTCTTCATGGCCTTTCGGAAAGTCAACGCACTTCATTAATGCAACACGTCAGAAGCAGCACACAGCTGGGACAGCCATCTGTCCATGGACACCGAACACATCTGAATCAGTATTGTCTGATGACACCCTTGCAGATAGGGCAGATGATGCAGTAGTTCGGCAAGTGGATCTTTTGTTGTGGCTGCTCAATACGAAGGCCAGAAATGACCAAGGAAAAGTCGAGGTTGCAGCTCAAAAGGAGGTCAAACGAAGGAGTTCCACAAAGACACGTCGACCGCCACAGGAATACTATACGTAAATCCACCACGTCAACGTCACATGAGACCGGTCTTTTGGATCGCTTCTTCCGCTCCATGATTTGCTGGTTTCTCTCTACAGCCTTCTATAATATATCGGCACAAGGCTGTAGAACAAACCTACCTCAGCTGAGAACAGTCTGAAGAGGGAGGATGGCGGAGCTGCAACGATCTGTGACGACGTTCAGGAGGTCAGGGTCATCAGGGCTGGTGTGGGATGAGAGGCTGTTCTCCGGGGACCTGACTCAGATGAAGAAGAAGGAGAAGGAGGAGGGGGAGGAAGAGGAGGGAGGAGCCGCAGAGTTCAGGGAGCTAAGGCACTCGAAGAGCGTGGGATCGATCGGAATGCTGGGACGCAGCCACAGCACCGGCGGCGGCAGGGGCTTCCGCGCAGGTGCCGTCTTGCCGGCCGTCGACCCGCCATCTCCTGAGGTCCCTCGTTGCGTCTGCTGTGGGTTCCTCAGCAAGCACGGGTCGGCAAAGCCATCGAAGCCGAGAAGGCGGTGAGCCTGACGGCCGCATGACCGCTCTTCTTGCTGCATCCTCTTCTTTTCCTCTCTCTCTCTCTCTCTCTCTCTCTCTCTCTATATCTATCTATCTATCTATCTATCTATATCTCTACCTCGGCGTATGATTGTTGGAATTTTGAGGGCAATGAATCCAGTGTAGATGCCAACAGTTGCAGTTTGTGTCATCCAAGTATTGACAGTGATGGAGTTGAGAAAATTGGATTCAGACTGTTCTTCCATTCAGTTGTTGCAGCACTGTCAAGCCACAGGAAGCACTCTCAATCTGTATGCAATCTCTCTATCTCTCTCTCACTCACTTTGTTCTATGCATGATTAGCTGCACATGCTGTCTGCTTGGATCGAAGCTCTTCAGTCATCTAATCAAACGAGTAAAAACATGTTCACTATGCTCTTTCTGACATCTGCACATGATGTCTGATCAGTGTCTTCAGAACAAATCCAAAGGATACAAAACCAAGAACAATCTCTTTCTTCTATTGCTGCAACTGCAGAAGCTCGTATGAAGTTACACCAAACAGCCTTGTGTCTCGTCTGCTCGCACCCCCGCAAAAGATGAGGAAAAAGTAATGCATCAGTCGATATTCTTGCAACAAGCAATGAATTCAATAGATGGCAGCAATAGAGTGAGCTGAAGAAAGTCGATGCAAGTCCCACTTGGCTTCTATGTGCCACATGCGGTGGTCATCCACTTCATGTTACTATTATTATAGACCCACCTTAGAAAATTCAAAGATGCTGTCACAATGCTGGGCTGCCCACCACAGACTCTGTCTCCATCTTAATTGATACCATTATCGACTTTAACATTGACTAGAATACTGATGCATGCAACTATTAGAATAGCAAGTCTTATATATATATATATGTATGTATATATAGTGGGCAAAAGGATCTTAATTATTGATTTCCATGGCTATTCGAACCATGGTGATATAACCATATTAGGATGTGTTCTTGCATTTTTAGAATCGATTATACTAATAACGGTAGCAATGTTTCATCATTTTGGATAATGTATGCTTCTAGTTTTCATAAATGATCAAAAGAACTGATTTTTTTTGTGTGTGTGCATAGTACTCTTTTTTTAAATTTTCATATCTAACCTTATTTTATTGATTTTTGAAATTATGGATCAACGATGAGATGAAAAAGTCAGATTAGTACTCAAGAAATAAATTCTAAGATCAAATCTAAAAGAAAATCTATGAACTTTTCATAGACGATCCACACTAAGGAGTTTCTACGAACTCCGATATTATAGTTATCCGCAAAAGGTGAGGATGCTCTATTGTTACAAGGAACTTGAAAACTTTCTCTTCGATCTAAAATAATATTTACAAATCGATGTTAACCCGAACCGAAAGACACCAAAGTGTGTTGTTAGATGTCTTATAGGGTGGTGTCATCATCAACTTAAACACAACAAACTGCATCAATGACAAAGGCTAATACCTCACAGAGCCTTTTGCCATCACTAATTTGTACGTTTTTCAGCAGAGTTTCTAAGAATAGGATGCTCAAGTTTACCACAAAGGTGAGTACAAGAATATGTAATCTCACAAGTGCAGAATCTACATTGATGAAGACAAACACCTCATTATAATAAAATCATAGTGGCAGAATAGATTTGACTCATAGATTGGTGCTGCAAAATTTAGTTGAAGCTGGACATCATCCACCAAATAGATTCTGCATCCTCGGCCAACGGAAACAAAGACAAAATGCATTTATTGTACCATGATATCATAAAAAATATATAATTAAATTTCAATTTTAGCTAGAAAATCAGTCTACTTGAAGCATGTCGGTTGTCGACACTGAGATACTATAAATACTGAGAAGTACAAAGAAGCAGAGCAGTAAGCCTCTGGTATCAGCCTTCATTGAAAATTTGGTGTTGTGTTTGACCATATGGATCGAAGAAAAGGAATATCACATCTATACTTAACAGTTATTAACCAGGCTTCTCACACACAAAACTTCCTATAAATATTCGGCATCATCAGAAGTATGCTATCTCCATGGACCAAGATGGATATCAAATATTAGTTATTTGGTTTATCAAAAACTTGAACTAGATCTCGAAGTATACTCTGCGACGAGTTTTGCAAATAATGATGACTTATTTTCTAACAATCTTGCTGGCGTGTCATGTTCCACAATTACTCCTGGTCAACAAAAGAAATCATGTCAGACATGAAGTATCTCATGGTAAAGGGTAAAGAAAGAAACTCACTTTACTAACCATTATCAAGAAGCAAAACCATATCACTGTCGAGAACTGAAGTTATCCTATGCGCAATTGTGATCACGGTGGACTCCGAAAACTGCTTCCTCAGGGTCTTCTGAATCAGATTGTCCGTAGCAGTATCCACTGAAGCCGTTGCTTCATCAAGAACCAAAACCTTGCTTTTTTTCAGAATCACCCTACCCAAACAGACAAGCTGACGTTGACCCATGCTCCAGTTCTCCCCATTCTCAGTCACTGAAATCCACAAATATATACATAGCTAAAGTCCTAACAATCAGTCAAATGCAAAACAGATGTTTTATGCTAGTTACAAATATTTTCAATCCCAAACATCACAAGTTATTCCAGAGCGTAAGCTTTCTTATGCAAAATGCTTGCCACATGTCAACTCAAATCAAAACAAGTCACTTTTAGTATAAAAGCAACTCCGAAAACATACATCTGGAAAATGTTGTTATATTCAAAACAGGAGTGATTATGCTTTAGCTCAGCTACCAAGTACCAAATTGAATGTGTTTTATTAATGATCAAAGGGAAAAATAACTTTTTACCAAACAAACCAATCGTGCAAGTAAGATGTAGATGTCATCACAAAGGAAGCTGAGAAAGATATTTCACCTCCAGAGTCGAGTTTTAATTCTTTCTTCCTCACTTCCTCTCCAAGCTGACAGGATTCCAAGGCCTAAAACATGAGTATCACATTAAGGCAATCGGTATACAGAATTAAATCAAAAAATGGGAGAAAATGATGAGGTAAAGATAAATCACCTCCCATATCGCTTCATCCTTGTACTCTTCAAGTGGGTCCAGATTGCTACGAACAGTTCCCTCAAACATTGTTGGGTCTTGTGGAATTATGCTTAGTCTTGACCTTAAGTCATGAAGTCCTACTGTTGAAATGTCAACACCATCAATAAGTATCTGACCAACAGTAGGATCTATTATACGGAAGAGTGCTTGTATCAGGGTAGACTTTCCACTGCCTGTTCTTCCAACAATACCAGTCTTCATTCCTCCAGAGAAAGTGCAAGTCAGACCCCTCAACACAAAAGGCATGTGTGGTCCATAACGAACCTGTATCAACACTAAATCATCACTTGGAAATTTTTTCAAACGATTAGGAACTAATTGGATCTAGCAATAGCTAAGAAAGAAGGATCTTTTATCAATATAAATGTGCTTGAGAAGCTCATTTTAACATGTTTAGAGAAGAATTATGAAACCAATACTGCTGATCACATCTTTGTAGTATGTATCTCTTTGTAGAATCAATTTATGGCTAGGACAAAACCAAACCACTAATAAAGTTAAAACACATTGAAAAAATTGGCATTCTACCACCAGAACAGATAATGTGACAAACTGTTTTACTCCTAAAGTGATCATAACTATCTATGATGCAAGCCATAGACAAGAAAGATTAAACTAGAATCACAGAAGAGGAAAGTGGCAACTAAACAACATTCGATTTTCCCAAGACTCTTTTACAATTTGAAAAATAATGCATGTGGTCACCTGTAGGTTACGAAGTTCTATTTCTCCCTTTGATGGCCAACTGGAGTCTAGCTTGTTTGTTTCTACAGAGAGAGGAGGTTCGCTAGCAATGCTAGTATACTGCAGTATTCTCTCCACAGATATTATCTTGTTTTCAAGTTGGCAGACGTTCCATATTACCCAAGTTAGAAGCATATTGAGATTAAGTCCGTATGTCACCGCAAGACCAGCAATACCTGAAAAGAAGAGGATGCAAAAATGGTAGAAATTAGCACCCCACACTCCTCACATAATTTGATGCAAAATGATAGTGAATAGCACTACATCCTTCACAACTCAGAAAAGATAGATCCTACATATTCATGGCAATTACCAGGATCAATCACTCCTTTTGGCACAGAGATCAAGAACACTAAAGAGAAGGCAAAAGTAAGAGTTGACAACATGTCCAAACGAAAGCAAAGCCATTCCATTGCACCGGCAGTGTGAAACTTGGGACGAGAGTAATCATCCGATAGATGAAAATTAGTGTCTACAAATCTTGCCTCATGACCAAAGCTTCTAATTATCATCGATCCCGACATTGATTCAGAGAAGTGTTGTATGATTGGAGCTTTGCACACACCAACCAACCTTGATAATTCCCGTGATGTACCTATGTAATAATTCTAAAGAGCAGAAGAACAATAAGATGAATGAGAGCATTTAGGATAAACAAGATAATAAATTAGCAAATTAATTGGAATACCATTATGCAATCCCAAAATAGACATAAAGGAAGAAGTAAATTCAATTCTACGAACTTTTGTCCAACACACGAAGATAAATTTCTTTTGATTAATCCATCTAACATTTTGAAGAGGAAAGCTTGTCCAAATAATTCCCACATTTAAGAATGGCATTTAAGTAAAAGGTTGCCTTTCGGTATAGAAAACAAAAATGAGCAACTAATTTTCAACGAGTCTCTCCAACTTTTGTGAACATTACTAATCTAGGCTACTTGGATAGGTGAATTCTCTGACAGCTCCAATGTGGCACTGTGGCCACATTCCTGATCAGACGAATAGAAGTATTAGATATTCATAAGTGAAGAAAAAATATACTTGAACAACTGGTCTCTAGGTACTGATAATCATGATATAACCAAGGACTAGTAAGCTGAAATAAAATATTTTGTCGCATGGTGTAATGAGAACCTAATCTTGAGTCTTGACAACTAAAATTCAAGTACTATCAACTAGGGAATGCCAAAAATAACCTACTGGGAGCCAAAAGTTTCATCTGTTTCTTGTTTCTATTCATGGCAAGTATCTTTTTTTTCACTTTCAACGTATCCTCTCTTTTAGGCAAAAATGCCATTGTTTATGTAGCAGTTAAGTTTAATGGCATTTGACCATTAGCCTATTAGATTCTCTAAGTCTAGTTGCATTCTTCTAAGATAAAGCAACTAGGTTCTAGAAGAATGATAAATGAAAAGGAAAAGAAAAATCTTGTGAGGAATAGGTTTAACGGAAATGTGATACTTGATTCATGCAAGTCCACTTAACTTCAGATATAACAATCAGATTTACTAGTTGCCTGTAGTCATATTTAGAAGTCAAATTCTAAAAGCATTGCAGTTAAATACTCCAAGAGGAATATAAAATACATACGACTTGAATGAACAATGTTAACAGGAAAAACAAGCAAGACAGAAAGTATTACCTGATACCAAATGCAGGCTGCAATCACAGGAATAAAGACAATGAATACTTGCCAAGCAACCTGTGACATGACTGCAATGATCCCGAGGAGTTGTATAGTTGTAAATGCAACAGAACCAATTTGGGAAGGAATATTGATATCTACTTCGCTTTGATCTGTTGAGGCCTGGATAAATAATGCTACTATTATCGAGTGTCAACTCAAATGGCAAAACATATTTTCAGTACATTGCTAAAGATCAAAAGATGACTGAAGATCACATACTCTGTTGAGGATACGGCCACTGGGGGTGGAATCAAAAAATGACATCGGAGCACGGAAAATGCAGGTATGCAACTTGTTAAATAGCAGTGTCGCTGTCTTGTATCCAGCCGTTACAAGCAGGACGGCTCTTATAAGGATACAGAAGGAGCTCGCAAGTGCCAGTGCAACATAAACGTAGATTAGCATTGATCCACTGACAGGAGGTTCAACATCCTTGGAGACAGGAGCTGCCCATGCCATCCAGTAGTTGCTACCGATCTGAAGGATTTGAAAAAGGATTTGAGCCAATAACATTAGTGGCACAAGAGCTCCTTTATATGCCATCGTAATGTATGACCAGTAGACCCAAAACCCAACTTTGCCCTTTTCCCTCTCTTCTTCTTGAACAAGTTGCCCCTTCTGGGTGTTTACTTCATCTGCTTTACCATTTTGTGCATCTGTGTCATTTGCTTGGGTAGAAGTTCGTGCACTACCTTTTGTGCCACTGGTACCAACTTCTGCATTGTTATCTGAAGTACCAGTACCAAGATCAACTGAGGCAAGTGCTGCCAAAGCATCCTTATGTGCACCAACCAATTCCATGAACTCTGTTCCTGAATTTAGGATCTCAGCATACTTGCCTGCTTGTGCAATCCTTCCATCTCTCATACACTAAAAAAGGAAGCATCAATCTTTTGTTATGCATCCTAAGCAGCCCGTGGGCTATTAACTGAACAATCAAGAAGAATAGATAAAAGAAGAAAAGCATCACTCACCAGGACAAGATCAGCTGAAGGTAAGAACTCCACTTGGTGGGTGACATATATCACTGTTTTTGAAGCTAGATGGCCGAGCAAACATTCCTGCAATGAAAACGGTAATCAAACTATAAAAGTGACTGCACATAAAATGATATGAAATTAGACAGTATTCTATCAGGAGGTTGAATATGTTAAAAAGTAACTCCTTAAAGAGACTTGACTTCAGAAGTATAATGTTTGATTCCAACATAAAACCATATGAGTGAAGCATTTATATTTTTCACCAGATTTGTAGCAATTGTAATTACGACAAACTGAGTACCTTGAAAAGATGAGACCCTGTGTGGGCATCGACAGCACTGAATGGATCATCGAGCAGGAAAATATCAGCATCATGATACAAAGCACGGGCAATCTGAATCCTTTGCTTTTGTCCTCCACTCAAGTTGATGCCTCTCTCCCCTATAACTGTCTGGTCTCCGAATGGCAGGATCTCCAAGTCCTTCTTCAAAGAGCATGCTTCAAGAACCTTGTCATACTTCTCATGGTCCATTTCCTTACCGAACAAAATGTTGTCTTGAATCTTGCCACTCTGTATCCATGGTGACTGTGGAACATAAGCAGTAGTCCCACACAGGCCAACAGTTCCCGATATTTTTGGCACTTCACCTAGCAAGCAAGATAACAAGCTAGATTTACCAGAACCAACAATTCCACACACAGCCACTTTCATGCCTTGCAGAACTTGGAAATTTAAATCCTTCAAGGTTGGGACTTCAGAAGACGGATCCCATGAGAAGCTTCCATTGATCACTTCAACTGCAACTTCAGAACTTCTTCTTGGAAGCCTCTGCACAGCATTAGATTGCAGTTCCTCGAGGCAGAGGAATGACGAAATTCTATCAAGAGAAACTTTAGTCTGAATAACCATGGAGATCGTGTCAGGGAGGTTGTAGATGGGCTCCTGCAACACTCTAAAAGTCGCAAGCGCAGAGAGGACCTTCCCAGATTCCAGTGGTATCCCCAGAAGCATGCAGGCCCCAAAGGTGACCACTGCCACGAAAGTAGGTGCACCCCAGAAGACAAAGGTCGTCATGGCCGATGTATAGACATACTTTCTCAACCAGTTGGTCTCATTTTCCCGAAGCTTGATTATTTTGGACAAGAACTTCATCTCCCAGCCTTGAAGCTTGAGAATTCTCATGTTCCTCAATATCTCTGAAGTTGCTTTCATCCTTGTGTCTTTACACTCCATGATCTTCTCCTGGTACTTCTCCTGCATCTTCCCCAGGGGAACATTGGCCAACATAACAATGAAAGTGGCAGCAAATGCAGCAAGGGAAGCAATGCCCAGATTGGCATACAAGATCAGCAATGCCAAGGCCACTTGCACAGGTACCATCCAAAGGTCATGCATGTACCAGCTAAAGAGCCCAACCCTGTCCGCATCCACACTCATCAGGTTGATGACTTCTCCGCTTGTACGACTCTGCTTTGAGCAGCTGGACAGAGTCAGGCCCTTCTGGTAGATCATTGCCACAAGGGAAGCCCTGACTCTGATCCCGACCTGCTGTAATCTGAAGAACCAGTGCCTCTGAGAGAGGCACTCCAGAATCTTGGCGATGACGAATGCCATGACCAACATATAGCCTTCATTAGCGAACTTGCGGTTCCCATTCAGGTATTGAACAAAGTAATCGATGAGGTAGGGGCCGACGTAGGTGGCGACGGTGTACACGAGACAGTACAAGGCCGTCAACAATATCTGCTTCCAGGCAGACAGGATTAATGCTCTCGCCAGCTTGAGTGTGGTGATTGCACCATCAGAGGCAGAGGTACTGCTGCCTGAGCAAGATTCAAGCTTGCTCTTGAAGATGGGAAAGACGCCAATAACGCTGTCGCGCTCGTCCAACTGCGGCACGTCCTTGAGGTCCAAGGTCTTTCTATGGCCGGCGGCAAGCAAGGGGCCCATCCAATAGAAGGTGAGTGTGCTGAGAAAACCGGCATTCCGGAAAAGAGAAGCACCGCCGGTATTAGTATCATGGCATGACTCATGGGAACCACCATTCAACAGCGGCTCCCGCGCATCAGAGCTCTGTTGCTCCTCCCAGCTGTTCCACAAGAAGCCGGCACAACAGAGGACCAGAGCACATGGAAAGGACCCAATGTCCAATACCCAAGCGCGGGTTGGGAGAGCAGCGCGCTGTCTGAGGCAGAAGAAGTCTATAGCAAGGAAAGAAGAGGACATGAGAAAAGAAAGCCCCCACCAAATCCTGAGAAGGGCCGGGAATCTCTTCGCGGACCGGAATCCCAAAACGAGATAAGCAGATGTGGCGAGCCACGCGGCCGCTCGGAGGGCCAAATCCAACCGACCGGCCACCCGGTCGCGCGGCCACCTCCACCCATCTCTGTACCAGAAGAAATCGAGCAAGCACAAGGAAAGATTGAACAGGCCCAAAACCAAGCAGGTGAAGAGCGCCAACCGATGGCGCAGAGGACTGCTGTTCTCTGCCCCATGTTTGGAACTCTCCAGCTTGTGCCTCGTGCGCTTGCAGAGCCAGAACAAGGAGAGCGAAAGCAGGAATATGAGATGGCACGAGGCGGAGAAGCCATGGAGGAAAACGGGTTGCAATAGGGACTCTACGTCGATACGCATTCCAAGGAACGGAGGGGTCAGCATGTTTGCTCCCTCGTCTTCCACCAAGGGAGGAAGGGAGCGAGCGGGGAAGGCTTGATTTAAAGGGGAAGAGGGGAAGGGAAGGTCAAAGGCGGCTCCTTGCGGTGCAAGGTTGCTATGGGCCTCCTTGCTTCCCTGTAGACCACACGGGCCCCGCGCACGGGACAACTGCGGCCGATAGGGACGCAGAGGAAGAGCACAAAAGGCAATGGAGAGTCCAGTGAAGGAGGGGCGAGATGGAGGAACGGAGCGAGAAACAGAGGACCGCGGCGATTTCTTGACGACGGTGACATAAGGAAGAACGAAAGGGTTGGGGTGCGTGAGGAGGGCAGACGGGTTCCGTTCCACACGCACAGCACACCGTGTGACAACGTAAACCAACCGGCGATCAGACGCACCCGTAAGCTTGATTGCTTATTTGGGAACGTCCCACTTTTTGGATTTTTTGAGGTGGTTGTGAATATACCCAAATTTGCCTTAAAAGGCTCCTAAAATCATCTAAAGATAGAAATTAAATGATTATTTATATTTTATTTATTTATTATTTTAAATAAATAAATTTGGTGCTGCAATCATAAATGATTCATGCTACTTAAGTTTGCAGAATTAGCATGAAGTGGTGTTAAATCTGACTTAAAATCTTTAAAAGCATCTAAAAGTAAAAGTACATTATCTTTGTCTCCTAAAGATGGATATAGTTGTACAAAAATTTTATTATGTTACACTCGTAAAGAGACTATATTATATTTTATTCAGAAATTATGTTAGTGATGATTAAGAAGCTTTCGGAAGAGATTAAGGTAGTTTCAAATGCTTGACCGAAAATTGAGATCACATGAGGTTTTCGATATAATTCCTCTAATGCTCAGGTTAGTAACGAAACAAAGTGGAAGTTATGAGTATACAATGATTGATTTTGATTAATATAGTTTTACGAGCCTTTTTATGATTGATCCAATTGGAAGAAATATTTCATAGCGTGGATAGGATATTCTAGAGATATTTTATATTAGGTTGATGTTCATGCGACTCAATTATTGATTGAGGTCATTACTTCCTCGTGTTGATTGGACTATCGTGTATTTTGAGGCTTCATTAAGGTAAATATTTTCACTATCATTTGTTTCTTCTGAAGATGAAGGATTCTCTACGAGGGATTCAAAAGTGTAGTCATGTGTTAGCTTGACATGTTAGTCACTATAATATCAAACGACCTCTAATGTTTAGCTCGAGGAAGACACATTAGGTAAACTCTGATGCTTAGTTAAAGAATGGCACATTGGATCTATCTATGATATTTAGCCCAAGAACAATGCATCTAGTAGGTCTTAAATGCTTAGACCAAAGAGGACGCATTGGGCAGATGTTTGATGCTTAACCGAAGAAGAATGAAGGATGTATCGAACACGTCTTTAATACTTGGCCTAGAAAGATACAACAAGGAACTTCAAATCCCCAACCCTGACCTTATTGGAGACTTTACTAACATGTAATAGGTTGACATTATAGCTTGAAGCATGTTTAACAATGATTGATCGATGATGGTGTTGTATGTCATGAGTATGTCAAACACCATGAACTTTGTTAGCATCAACTTGGAGTAAGGCTTCGATTTGAATGTTACATATAAGTTGATAGTGCCAAGGGGGGAGATAGAATCGCCAATAAACCCCATCATAGAAGAAGACATCAGAATAAGACCATTAGTAATTAGTCTCAGCTTCTAAAAATTGTTATAATTTGGTATATATGTCAGTAGAGTTACTTGTATCAATGATGACTCTTTTGACTAGAGCATTGATCATCTTGATGGAGATGATGAGGGTGTCATAGGTGCTCTGCCTCCTCTTCCTTGAATGTTATTTTAGAATATCCTTCCAGCCTTTATCGTTTCTTGACAATGGCTTAGGTATAAGTCTTGTAGGCTAATGAGTTATCTCATATGGAAGTCAATCTATCGATGATGATGTCAATCTATCTCTCCATTAGTCTCTCGAGTAATGGAGTTGACTCTTGGCATCCGTGCATGAAACATTCAGATGCTCCTAATAGATAAATTCTTCTATTTGCTCATTTAGGTCGACGCAATCCTTAGTATTTTGGTCATAGTCCCAATGAAACATGTAATACTTTATATTATTACACCTCCTCGATAGAGATCTCATAGAGCAAGGATCCATCAATAGCCCTTCATCCATAATTTGGAGAAAAATCTCAATTTATGACATGTTGAGGTGGATCAAGTTCATGTATGGTTAAGATGACCCCGCTCGATCGATTCCTCTTTGTTGAGGTGACCTTGGGGTCAAAGACCGGTCACTCTTGCTTTATATGTTTGGCAATTCCTTATACTTTCTCGAGATCAAGACTTTAACTGTAATGTATTAATTAGCACTTTAAAGCATCTTAGGAAGAGTGATAGACTATCTCTCAATCAAAGATCATAAGAGTCGAGAGGGCATCAACTTTTACATAAATACTTATGTGAGGATCTATCGAAGGATGCATTCAATGATTCCTTGAGAGAGGCCAAATAGCTGCCCCTTCCTCCGTGGTAACTTGGGATTTCTCTATCAAAATAAATGGATATTTTACTTCTTGGATTATTTTAATGATTTTTAAGTCCAATTTGACAGTCTATGAACCGATTCGATATATCAAAAGTAATAGATTATTCAAAGTTCAACGTAAGGACGCCAACCGGGATTACATAGAACATTGTCTCATGTCTCACAACCTGCGACTACAATGCTGAGATTGAATTCCACGCAGGCAAATCAAAGCGATGTAGAATCTCCCCCCCTGGTTTGACCAGTCACTTTGTTAATAGATTCCAATGGGACGTTTTGGCAGCTGTTCAACGATGGAAGCGACAGTGAAGTCCACAGAGAAAAAGTCTACATGCGTGCGTAGACTTGGGATACTTGGAAGTGCTGCTTCCTTGCTCCACAAGAAAAGAAGACGAACCCAACCATTGTTGACGATCTGCTTCACTGGGAAGAGCGAAACCGATGGTTGACTGATTTGGGTCATTTTATATCATCAGTCACTGATCCATGTCAGCGAAGATGACAGAGGAAGCACAGTGGAAGGTCTCATTGCCATTAGCTTCTTGTTTCCATTATATGTAAGCAGAGCAATCAAAAGATAGCTTTCTTTTGTTTTGCTCATGAGATGAACTGGGGGTTCCGTTCTACCTTTGTTTTGCCTTAGAGACGGTGCTCGATGGCGACATAAAGACGTTTAAGCTCACAGAGCCGGAACATCCGTTGGTGCTTGTGGAAGTGGTGCACCCAATCATGCATGTTTGATGGAAAGCGAGCAGTGGTTTCGGAGAAAGAACGGGTGGTGGTGGTGGTGGTGGTGGTGGTGTGGAGGGCAAGAAGACTTTGTATTGGAGCGAAAGGCACAGCGAAAGCTGCTGCCTGGCAAGCATTTCGCTTCATGATTTGACGTTTCATGATAGACGAAAAAAAGAAAATGAGAGACTGAAGGAAGAACAAAGAATTTAAAGAATTAACGATATATATTGGGTTTGACTCTCAATAAAATTTGTCTTAAAGACTATCAGCCCTTTTTTATTTTTTTAACCAAATATAACTTTGCTGCTTGATGACTCACAATATATGTACAAATCTAGGATCTGCACCACTCAAAAACTAAAATAATAATCTCGTTTATGACTGTACGATGAGCTGACTTATTATCAGATCCATCTAGTGTTTAAAAGATTAAAAAAATAAAGATATCATACATTATGGATATCATAGATTAAGAAGTAATTGATATTTTTTAGATAACATTATAAATATTTTGTGTATCCTCAACCTTCCTAAGATATTTGCTGGGCAAGGAACTTCGACATAGTTATCTCGCATGATTGTCGTATAATTAAATATTTAAATTTGATATAATTTTTTTTTATTTTTTTACTTATTAATAAATCTTAAGAAATAAATATTTAATATTCCAAATAGTTTGATATCATTTTTGTTAGTAAATTAAATAAAAAATAAAAATATTAAATAAATATATAAGTAAAAAAATATTATATAGAGGGCTCACCTTCCTATTTAAGTAGAGGGATTCATCTCTTTCATTTCTCACCAAACCAAGTCTAATAGTGAGAGGAACAAAGAATTATATCTTATTGAGGAGCAATAAGTTTCTTTGTCTTTCTTGAAATATATATTTTTTTATTTCTTTAAATGTTTAAAATTTTATTTTTTGATTAATTTATATTATATATAGTTTTAAAATATTTTTTTATTCCTTTAAATATATAAAAAATATTATTAAATTAAAACATGTTATTTAAAGTTTCTAAGATCTTCATTTATCGCTTTTAAAGTTTATAATTTTATTTTTGGATCATAACGTATTGAAATTATTTATGTCATATAAATTTCTAAAATTTTACCTTGAATGCAAGATATTTGATTTTTATTTGATTTGAAATGCTATTTCCTCCTTATGTCATTTACCTTTTTAATCGGTTATTACTTATTATATTTTAATGACTTATTATTAATAAATATATGCTTGATTATAATATCACAATTTGAAATTAATGAAATTGGTTAGATTTGGGTTGAAATCAATCCACAAGCTAGGTCTAATTAATAAGCCAGGCCCAACCTATAGGTTAAGTCACAACCCATAAGCTAGGTCCTAGCTCGCAAACTAGCTTAGCCCAGCCCAACATGGGCAGTCATGTGCAACAGACATAATAAGTCCATAGGCTATGGGCTAGCCTAGCATATGGTGTATCCATAGTCATGTGCATTGCACATAACTAGTACATAAGTTAGCCTAACCTAATCCAATATATTGCAGTATAGTCTATTGTCTTTATTTTGTTAGATTTGGGATCGAACATTGATTAAATCAAACTAGATTTAATTAATTGAGATCGATTTAGGATGATTTTGAATTGATTTAACTTATTCAAGTTTTATTAACCTAAATTAAATCCAATTTATGGTGATTCCAGATAAGTTAAATGAGGATTATAGATCGATTCAACTAGTTTCTCGTTAAATAGAGTTTAATTAGATCGATTGAACTAGGATTCAAAGTCAATTGATGGTTAATTGATATTATTTGATGTTAATGATATTTGAAAGAAATATTTTAGTATATTATTTCATCATGATATAGACATGACCAATATGAGATGATGTTATTTTTCTGCTAAGGTTAGGTAGGGTGATTCTCTTCGGGGATTAGCGGGTCGTCAAGCATGACGGTTGGATAATTCCTCTATTTGCTATTGGGAGATATATGTTTTCACTTTGACAAGTGAGAGAC